TAATAATTATGCTACTATAATCACTTATATTATCTATTGTAATCATATTTTTGTAATCTACTGTAATAATGGGATTTAATAACATGATATTACATAAAACCGTTTTAAGTTTTCATATATTGTTTTCAAACAAAACGAACAGTATGACATATTGCGCAAACTATTTGAATAAAAAAAGAAACATTCCAACTCGAAAACTACTAAAATTAATTTGAAGTGCCGACTTTAATGATAATTATATTATTTTTGCCATAAAAAAACCTTTTACTTTGCTAATTGCAAAACGTTACATCACTCGCTTTCGGAAATACGAGAAAAGTATCCATAGACGTTTTTACCAGCTGTTTCATTTGAATTGAAAATTTCAACAAGGAAATTTTAATTTGAAGATTTTTTTTACGTTTCTTTTTTACGTTTTCTTTGCAGTTTATTTGGAAAGTGTGATTTATTAGCCAATTGCTCCAGTGATATAGTTATAAATTCGTAATGCGTTTACTAGTTTTACCTGTTCCAAACACAAAAAAAAAACAACAATTTACTTTTGATGTCTGAATAACGTGCGGAAAGAGAGATGGAGGCAAAGGTGAATACCAAAAATAATGAATAGACAGAAAGAGAAACAACGGTAAATGGATGCTATGTATGGCATATGTGGCAATTACGAATTTTCACAGTGACCAACTTTCGTGTTAGCCATAATTATTCTCTTATACTCTCCAACAAAAATCAATTGAAATAGTATAAAATACAGAGTTTTTTTTATAAATTCTTGTAACTTTTGAAATAATTTAGATCTAAAATATAATTATAGATTTTTTTAAACAAATACAGTAGAACCTCCAACATTTATAAAAAAAATAAATTGTAAAAATGACTCGCTTAACGAGCGTCGTTTCATATATCTAGTGACGATTTTGCGCCTGCTACATCATTTTCAAAACTTTTGTTCACATATTATTTGATTTTTTTATGTTATTTTTTAATTTTTTTGTGAAAAATTTTATAACACTATGTCTCCGAATAAAAAGCGAAAGAATAAAAGAGTAAAAATCCGGAAATTCTGGAACGGATTACGCTCGTTGAGCGAGGTTCCGCTGTAGTTTTATATATTAATGCATTCGTGTTTAACTTACAGGAAATTGCATAATATATGAAGATTTTCATAAAAATTGGAGAAAATATGTTCAAATTAACAGCTCAATGTTAAATAGTTTTGTTGTAAAAGTCATTGATAGCAAACATTTTGAAAATATTAAGAATTCAAACAGAATTTTTGTTAGCCAATGGGCAATTTGGTACTATGCACTATTTATTAAGTTTTGAATTGGTCGTCTACTATTACATTTTTTTTAGAAAAAAGAAAATAAATAATTTTATAAACTGTCACGAACAGAAGACAAATATATAAAATAAATGCTTTGTGTACAGCAGTTGTCTGTACATATGTACACATTATCGAACGTACGTTAAGTGAGCATTGGTTGTATTTGTAAATACTGTGGACGACCATCAACATAAAGTTGTTAATTTAAGAAAGCTAGTGTTGCTGTAATAGAAAATGGACAAGAATATATTTAATTGAATTGCTTGGAGACGATTAATTCTAGTGAGGAATATACTGTACAGCCATTTAGTATACCGCCATTAGCAAATTAAATTTAGCGTTGCACATCTTGCGGAATCATCTGAACGCGACGTAATAACGCGCTAAACCTGGACAGATTCTGCGGTGCAACTTCAGAGTTGGAGGAGCAATTCTCTAATAGTAGAAGAAGATGACTAATAAGCTCAGGCTTCATGGTTAATTACGAGAGCCTCAGAGCAATTGCGCTTGCCGTAACTGTAGACACTTCCACTCGAGCGGCCGTTGGGAAAATGCTGCTTGTTAAGAGCCAATCGATCGATGAACTTTACACAGAAACCTCTAGTTTTGAGAAAACCTCAGTCATTTAAAAAAAAAAGAAATTAAAAACGAATCAAAAGTTGGTAGCACCGGATGCCGCCGTTCCGGTTCCGGTTGCGACACGAAACCGAATCAGATCGGACCTTTGAAATAATACTGCGACCATGAAACAATTGCATATGTACAAATCGGTAATTGCAATCATCATGCGAAAAATAAGGATGTTTTAAAGACCAAATCAAATTATTAATATGAAGTTCAACTACTTTGATCTAAAAAATATTAAACTGGATAATAACCAATTAACTGCAATAATTAAGATACGATGTAAAAAGTGGTGCAAGATAATAGAGCAAATTAGCTGCATCGTATGCAAAACAAGTGTACTCACAGAAACATGCAAAATGCTTAGCAAGCGATAATTAAATTTCGCAAAAAAAATATAGCGGTATTGATCATCTTCGTTTGCACGTCAAAACAATGTAAAGTCATCCATTAGTGATGGATGGAATGGCGTTCGTGCGTTTTGGAAAGTGCATTTCGCGTTCTCTTTCTCTTTGGCCGTTTGTTTGCCGTTCTTCTGTGGAGCCCCGATCTTCGCTCACCCCCATCCATCCTCCTCTTTAACACGCTTTCTTGATGTATCCCATTATTAGAGCGTATGCACGATGAATGTCTCGAAACAACTCTACGCGAATCGAAGAAGAACCCCAATTAGTTGAAGGAAAAAAAAATAAAACAAATATACCGCGAATAGCACATACCTCGAGCGACCTTGACACAATAACGGAAGCACGGCGAAGGAGCGTAACAGAAGGAAGAGCTTGCTGCTGGATGAACATGTAACGGATTTCAATTATATAAATAAAGACATTAATTGTCATTGTTGGAATTAATTGCTTTTGCGAAATCGATGATATAAATGGACTTGGTATAAATTCATGTATGTGTTAACAATACATTCATGTAATTTCTGTTATTTTATTATTAGTGAATAAAATTTACTTAAATCCAATCTATTCATTTAGTTCTATTGATACCTTATTAGACAATAAATAAGAACTATTAACAAAAATTGAACTTTTTTGATGCAACTGTACATTATTTTTCTTCCCAAATATTGATGTCTTATTAAACAATAAAATAACATAATTTTATTAAAATTTTTGAACGGAAGATGCAAATTTTCCCAAATAAAAACAAAATAATTTTAAGCGCACAACATTTTTCACATCGAATTCTCAAAATTTTCAGATGTTAAAACAGCTATTTCTATAGCTGAATTAAATTTAGTTTTTTAAAAAATTAAACTAGGCTATAGTAAAATCGGACTATTTCAAGCCAACGCACTTTTTTTTCAAGGCACAGCAGTTGTCCGTTCCGTACATCAACCTCCAATTTAAGTATCTAAATGAAAAATATGTCAAAATTTAGTTAAGAATTGTTAAAAAAATCAATAATGATTTTCATTTTCACTTATATTATCTGGATTAGGTATAAATGAAAACAACTGTAACCGATGGTATTTTGATGATTGATGAAAGTAAAATATTCACAAAATTATTTCGTTGACCTTATTTTTTTTATTAAGCATAATTTAGAAGTAAAATTTTTAGGATCTGTTAGTAATTTCATAAATATGAATTTTTTGAATAAAAATAATTAAATACATAGACTTAAAAATAACTTTATTTTAACTGATTTAATCTGACAAATTAAATATATATTCTAATGTAGATTTAAACGTTTTCTATTTGTCATTAAAATTAATTGAATAAGATACTGTAAATAAAATATATATAATGATTACAGTAATTCCAAAATAAATTTCCATAGGCAACATCGTGAGATATTTCTGATTATCTTTTAATGAAACACTTCCCTCGAAGAGATTCTCAAAATACAAAATACAGAGATACAAAATTCTTATAAATTTTAACGGTGATGATATTTATAACGCAATAATATTAATCAACCAAACCACAGTTCCAACGGATTTTAACCGATTATTTGTAAATATACTAACAAATTTATGGTTTAAATCCAGTAGTAATTGTTTTTTTTTTAATGAAATTTAAATCATCTTTCACTAATTTATTGGGAGCACGAAGCAAATGAAATTTATTTGACTTTCAAATATTTGAAATATTTGTTTATTTTGACTTTCTCGTAACATAAGGACACTAAACTTAAAAGTGAATTTCTTTTATATGTAAAAATGTTAACGTATTCAATATTCAAAGCATTTGTTGGTAACCACAAAGTTCATTCGATCAGTCGGGATTCACTATAGTACGGTTTGAAAAATTTCTAAACAACCTAAATGTTAATTGAGCAAAATAAAATTAATTCTAAAAAATCGTACGCAATATATTTTTTACTTAGAAATCACTGAAATTAAGTCTTCACAATTTAATTTGAAATATATGTATGGGTAACTTGTATGTAATAATATAAAGTTTGTATTTATTATTAATAGCCATAAAAGTGTGTAATAAAAAAACACATGTATTATTATATTTTAGAATGTGTAGAAAAATATGTTTGCTTTTTAATTGGCTGCACCTAGCGGTAAGTAGCAGTACTATATAAAAAAAAATGAACGGGTGAATTGATTTATTCCAAAGCCTACCTCAATATCCATCATCTAATTTGAGTTAATTACGGGGTTGAGGAACTATAAAAGTTCATACATATATTTTATCCCAATTTCACGCACAACCTAATCCGCTAGCCGCATGAAAATTCATAATTAATCCGACGCCTAACGGATGCTTCTTAACGCTTCTCAATTAGATATACAAGAGTAAAAATCCGAAGGTGGTTTATGGATAGAGACGAGCGCGTTCTCCCAAAATAAGTAGGTCAAACGTTTCTACCGGAGCAACAGATGTTCTCGATTCGAAAGCAAATTTTCATGCGTACATTTTTGTATTTCGTAGAAAGTCAATTAAGAAGCTTATTTGTATTTTTATTTATTGATTATCTTTCAATTTATTCATCGTTACATGCTGTTGTTTGTTGCAGGTTTGGCCGTTTGAACGTTCTGCGTTGGCTGCTTTGGGAGGACCAGGTTTTCCGGAGGAAATTCAGCGAAATGCCGGCCCTCGAGAGGAACACGAACACCACTTTAGCCCTGCACTATGCTGCGGCCAGAGGGTGTTTGGATTGCGTCCGTTTGCTGGTGGATTCCAGTCCGGATTTAAGGTAGGAGAAAATACTTTCCATCGTACACAAGAAAGTTGTAATTTTTAAGTTCATCGGCTCAGAAACAGAAACGAGGAACGACAACAACAACCGGTCTCTTGCTTTAAATAGTTCTAAAGACTTCGGGTTTCGAACCTGCCTGCAAGTAGTTCAAGTAACTGCCCAAACGTTCGAGACCCCATAAATTCCGAAATCTCAACTCGTTGCGAATAGTTTCAGCTCTAGTTGCATTGCTATACCTCCGATCTAAGTGGAGATAAATAAATAAATTCTTGCCGCACATTAACCTTTTTAAATACATAATTATTTATTAGAATAGAGGATATTAGTTATTCATTTTTCTAATTGAACTAACTCAATTAGTAATAGTATTATTATTAAAAAAAAAAAGATATTTTGATAATCTAAATAGAAAAATAATTGTAAGTGAATGTAGATTTATATTTTCTAAAGTATATTAAATTGAAACTACTAAAACATAATATATAGTTCTTTGCAAAATATGACTATGTATAAAATAAATTTCGTTTACAGTCATTTGCACCGTAGAGAGTGCGGTTTTTATCAGATTTACTAAAATCCGGTATGAAAATTTCAAAACAAATTTCATTTTAATTAAAACTAAATTCTAAAAAAATACTACAAAGTTGAGCCAGTTGGGCCAAATATGACCAACTATATTATGAATATGTTCAAATAAAAATGTACAAAGTATTTTTGTATACATAAATGATCACATTTTTCCCTTTTATATAGTCAAGTCTCTGTTTCTGTGAGATATATTTTTGTATGTGTTTAGTTCCTCGATTAGTCCGATTTTAAACAGTCCAGGATATTGACGGAATTACCAGAATAACCCACAGTATGCAAAGTATTGCTGCTGTATGTTTAAACTTTTCATTTATTTTTCATAAAGTAAAAAACCCATTGTATTATATGGCTGTAACCTTTAGTATACATTTAGAAATGAACAACCTTACTTTACGATATTTCATTAAGATTCTATGGACATTTCTAATGTTTTATTCATTGGTAACTGCTTTCAAATAGACCTAAACGTGATGTATTTTGTATGATTTTTGGACCGCGATCAATATCATAATTTAATTTGTAAATGATTTTACGTTTAATCTGATATTAAAATGTCAACTAGTGTATATAAAACTAGTAGTTCAGTTGACAAGATTGCCTGATTCAGTTGTCTAAAAATTTGTTGGGTCTAAAAATTTAGGAATTTCTGGCCCCTCAAAGAGTTAAGGGCTTCGAAAACCGTAAAAGTTTGGTTATTCTGAAAACATTATAAAACTCTTTATAATATATCAACGATATATCTTCGTATAACTGTAATATTATATTATGACCCAAAAGCGACATTTATGCATTTAAAAGGAACATTAACATTATTTTTTGTAAAATAAGTACATTGGGTAAATTGTCTGTTTCAATAATTAATAATAATAACATTAATTACTACAAATTAAACAAAAATAACTTAATAAAATCAAATTAATAGGTCTTTCTGCCCTGTTGTTTTTATTTCACATTATTGTGTGTAATTATTTGTATGTAATATAAGAGTTAACATGAATAATTTATATAGTTGTTTCTGTGAAATACTTTAATTGATCAGAAATGCATCACTAACAATCATATTGATACATTGATAAAGATATTCAAACTTTAGAGTTCGGTACACTTTCGTTTTGTAGACTCCATCATTATATAATTAAAAAAGAATGTGAGTCATTGCGAAAATTCTATATAACAATATATATTAGTTATTTTATATACATAACATTGTAAAATTGTCGTTTTATATTATTTTATAAATTACACATATAATAACACTTTAATTATCCATAGCAATTTCTTATTAAATGTATTTTATTAATCATGAAAATAATACGAAGAGGTTTGATAGAAAATGATTTAAAAAAATACGAGAAAAATATTTAATAAATTGTATTATAATAATATAACATAAGTGCATTAAATATTTACATAAAATAGAAATTTAAAACAAAAAATCTTTATCTACGCACATGGTCATTTTATAGTGAAAGTTACTATAAAATCAACATAAATTGTAAATAAATTTACAAAATAAAATCAAGAATATATGATACTACTAAACAGCAGATGATTTTGATAATGGATCATTTCAATAATTATGCTTTCACTAATACTAAATAAGTGATGATAGACATGTAAACACATTAAAAATAAAATAATAATGAAATAGTAGAAAGCAGATATAAATTAAATAAAAAAATAAACAAGATGGATTATATAATATATATTATTATTAACAAAACTAATCTGCTTTAAAAGAAATATACAGTAGAACCTCGCTTAACGAGCATAAAAATTTCCAAAATTTCCAGATTTTTACTCGTATAGTGAAACAGTTTTCCTCATATAATCTAATGTAAAATATGATAATGCATTCCATGCCGGAAAAAAAGTATAACTTGGTCTTGAATTATAATGATTTTGCTATTCACATCTATGGTTATTTTTATTCTTTGGCTTTTTATTCGGAGACATGCAAGTGTTATTAAATTTTGCACAAATAACATGTTACACAAGTTTGGTAATATGTGTGATCATAAACAACACTAGGATTTAACTAGAGTAGTCAACACCCGGAACTGTTTTCTCATTCACTTACGGTGAAATGAGTTTATATTACATGTATCAATTCGGGGACTTGGTGGAGGTCTCTTTATACTTTTAATATTTGTTTATATAAAAAGCGTACATAGTTTGTTTATATATTATAATAATGGTTGGACACAAAACATTTGTGTTTTGCATTAACAGCAAACACAAATTATATTTGCAAAGTATAGTCCGGTTCAAACATATATGACAAAAAAAGATGGTTAATATATTAAAAAATATAAATAATATGTGTACACAAGTTTTTAAAATGATGTAGCAGATGCACAATCCGGGACTTCTCTTCTCATCACACATTATGCGAAACGTCGTTCGCATAATGCAACTTTTTAATCCTCGATTTGTTGCAATGAGCGAAAACATAAAAATGATTATTATTTTGCGTGACTGTTGTATTAAAGATAATTATTATTTATAAAGAAAAGTATAACAAACAACAATTGTAAATAATAAACTAAATACATCTGGCTAATGAACTGTGATCTTTTTGACCAATATTTAGGATATTAGCACTATTTTAATTGGATACGCGACAACTCAGCGACAGATACTTTAAAATCAAATTTTAACATATTCTCTTATAATAATAACAATAATATATTGAAAATAGATATATATTGAAAAAACAAATTCAGTTTTATACAAAATATGGAAATAAACTTAAATATGGAGAATCTTTACATATTTTGTTTTATTATTAATTTTTTATAATTATTCCCTTTCTATTTTTGTCTATATAACAAATGTATGTTATGTTCTATTACTTGGCTAAGAAATTATTTTTATTAATAATAATATTTATTGAAACAGTAAAACTAAAAAATAAATTTCAATACAATATAAATATCATAAATCAAAAAGTCAACTGTATCAAAGGGCTATTTTATGTTATTACAGTTTATAAATATAAATTGTTATATAGTTAGTAGCCCTCAGGAATTCCGTTTAGTTTTATTTTTCTTATTATGTTATTTTGTTAAGTTTGTATTATGTTTGTTGCAATAAATATTAATAATTTATTGGCCAGACATCAATAAAAAAAAGAATACATTCTATAAATAAATGATTAGGTATTTGAACAGGGATAATGTGGAATTTTTAAATTTGGGAAGGATATTTGGGTTTCGAGGAGCACATAATTTAGATATGGAGGCGATATTGGACTGTTTAGATTTAAATTTCAAGGAGAGAGAAAGGTATCGGTCAAGGATAGGGACTATTCTGGTTTTGGAGTAAAGGAGATAGGAGGATTGTGTAGAGGATGTCGTATTTTGGTGAGGATACGAAGGGCGGAACGTTCGGATACGGTCAGGTTTTTTAGGACGGGATTTCGGCATTGGGAAAGTAGTGGGACCGTAGTCAAGGATAGGACGGCATATGAATTTGTATAAGGATGTTTGGCGCTTTATGGATATTTCGGAGTTACGGAAGGTTAAGGAACGGAAATGACGGGATCTGGATTTAATTTTGGATTTGAGTTGTTTGGAATGGGAATTAAAATATTATTATTTTATTATATATTGTGAAAAGTAAGAATTGTGTAAGAAAATAATAAAATTGCAAGATATAATTAATTTTATTTAAATATTTATTAATGTAAAGAAATTAGTAAAGATGAATTTTAAAAAAATATATATTATTTTTATATATCAATATCATTTATAATTTGATTAATTAATAATTGTTTCTTTTTTCACCCAATATAATTTTGTATTATATTGGGTGAAGTAAAAAGTTTTTAGCATTTTTTCTCTTTATTTCGACGATGAAATTAACAAAATTATAATTTTCGGATTTAGATCAAATATGTTCGACAACTTATTTTTATTTTCATTAAATTATTACAAACATTTTTTATTATTTAAATTATTATAATTGTATTAATATTTCAATATATTTTATGTTTTTCCAAATTCTTTAAATTATGAAAAGCAATAACAAGAGGAAACTTTATTCAAATACTTATCAACTTAAAAAAATAAAGATAAAGTAGAAAGTTTTCTTTCTTAGAAAAAATAATTTGGTAAGTTAGTTAGTTAGTTTCAAATTAGTATATATTTTTTAAAAAAATTCTTCTATATTTAATGTATATTAACAGTAAATAAATTATTTTATATGTTTTGTAATAATAATAATAAATGTAATATGTAAACTCAGTATTTCGAAACAGTTAAACTGTTTTTCAATAGATTATACACTTAATCTATAGCAGACACAACAAATATTTATTATTAACTAATCTTACCCTGTCAGATAATAATATAAATTTGAAATACATCATATTTTGATAAGATAATAACTTAGTGATGTGTGTATAA